GGGGGGGGGGGGGGGGGGGGGGGCACGGTGTGGATAAATTAGGAATTTGGGATTAGCAGATACAAACTACTATATATAAAACAGATAAACAATGAGGACCTACTGTATAGCAAGGGAACTATACTCAATATTTTGTAATAACCTATAAGGGAAAAAAATCCGAAAAAAAAAAAATGTATGACTGAATCACTTTGCTGTACACCGGAATCTAACACAACATTGTAAATCAACTATACTTCAATTAAAAAAGTATTTTAAATAACTAAGTAGCTTTATGTTAGGATATTAATTGCAGTGTGTAATAATTATAAATATTAATCGATGTCTTTTATAAAATGGTCTAGGGTAAACTGGAAAAAATGAATTTAAGGCAGATTTCAATTTGAACTTTCTGGATATGGTTTAAAGGTATAATATCTGATACATTTCCCGGGTCTTTTCAAAAATTGTATCTTATTTTTATATACTCTGGCTATATTTTATAATATCTTTCATTGATTTTGGAAAGCCCACATTTATATAGTATTAAGATAATGGATATTTGTATTTATCAAAATGCATCTGAGACAGAATTCTACACTGTTTATCTGTAATTAAAATAAGAATAATAACAAAAAGTCAAGTCTGAATCTGGGGAGATTTTATTTACCAAAGGTAGCCAAACATATATATATTCCATCCCATATGTTTTTCCTACGTGATGCTGACACTCCTGCACTGAAAGGTGGAATCCATGTTCCTTCCCCTTGAACCCACACAGGCCTTTGTAACTAATTCAACCAACAGAGTATGGCAGAAGTGACACTATATAACTTCTAAAGTTAGACTGTGAAAGACAATACAGCTTCTGTCTGGCTCTCTCTCAGAATACTCATTCTTGGAAACCAGCCATCACTGCTATGAGGAAGCTCAAATTAGCCCACACAGAGAGACATCAGAGCCAGCTCATACTGTTAAGTGAAATCTTCAAGAACTTTGTGAGCCAGTTGTAAAACACAGCTATTATGTTACAGTATATAAACTTACAATTAAATGAATTACATTAAAAACAATGGTAATAGGGGGCTTCCCTGGTGGCGCAGTGGTTGAGAATCTGCCTGCTAATGCAGGGGACACTGGTTCGAGCCCTGGTCTGGGAGGATCCCACATGCTGCGGAGCCCGTGATCTACAACTACTGAGCCTGCGCGTCTGGAGCCTGTGCTCCGCAACAAGAGAGGCCGCGATAGTGAGAGGCCCACGCACCACGATGAAGAGTGGCCCCTGCTCGCCGCAACTAGAGAAAGCCCTCGCACAGAAACGAAGACCCAACACAGCAAAAATAAATAATAATAAAAATTAATTAATAAAAAACTCCTACCCCCAACATCTTCTTAAAAAAAACAAAGGTAATAAATACTCAGACCTCATTGCTTCCTAAAACTTTTATTACATTTTACTATTATCTATAATCTAAAGGTTATTAACATGTATTGTCTCTGTATGGTGTAAATACTATATAATGGTGTGCTATTGCAACTATGCATCCTTGCCCAACTCTAGAAAAGTCAAGGCTTAAGAACAGGGCTACGCTAGACATTCTCGTCCAAAGCTTAAAAACAATCCCTAAAAAGATCAAACTGATCCACAAGGAATTTAACTACTTGCAGAACAAAATTCAACATTCTTTAAAGAAACACAAATCCCAGCACACAACAACACAAAGTTCAAAATACTTATCATCAGGACTTCCCTGGTGGCGCAGTGGTTGGGAGCCCACCTGCCAACGCAGGGCACAGGGGTTCCATCCCTGGTCCAGGAAGATCCCACATGCTGTGAAGCAACGAAGCCCGTGCACCACAACTACTGAGCCTGTGTTCTAGAGCCCATGAGTCACAACTACTGAGCCCACACACCACAACTACTGAAGCCCACATACCCAGAGCCCGTGCTCTGCAACAAGAGAAGCCACCGCAATGAGAAGCACACACACGGCAAGGAAGAGTAGCCCCAGCGTGCTGCTACTAGATAAAGCCCGCACGCAGCAATGAAGACCCAATGCAGCCAAAAATAAATAAATTTAAAAAACAAAACACAATCCAAATAATTAATTACTAAACATGCAAAAAGTAGAAAAATCAAGGTGTACAAAACCAGAAATGACAGAGATGACAGAATTAGCATATGAGGACATGAAAACACATAAACATGTTCCATATAATCAAGAATGAAAAGGAAAAAATAAAGAGGAGCAGAATGGAAGGGTTTTGTTTGGTAACAGCTTTATTGAAATACAATTCACATAGAAAAAAGGGAGATTTTTTAAAAAGAACAATACAGAACTTCTAGAGATGAAATATATAATATCTGAACTGAACATTTCACTGAATTAAATTTATATCATATTAGATACTACTGGGAAAAAATATCACTGAACTCGAAAATACAGCAGGAGAATCAATCCAAAATGAAGCAGAAGGGGAAATAATACTGGAAAATAAATGAAAAGAGCTTCCTTATGTGAGGGATAATGTTAAGTAATCTAGCATCCCTATTAAAAAACTCTCAGAAGAAGAGAAAGGGAAGAGACAGAAAAAAATTTTGAGAAAAAAGTGGCCAAAAAATTCTTCCAAATTTGATGAAAACTATAAACCCATGGAACTCAAGAAGCTTTAAATGAACTCCAAACAGGATAAAGATTAATGAAGAAATAAAAACTTTTTAAAATACTAGACTAAGGCTCATCAAAATCAAACGTGGGCAAACCAGTGATAAATACAAAATTGTAAAACAGCCAGAGGAAAAAAGACATATTAGGGAAATCAACACCATAATTAAAAACACCAAAATCACCTTGATGTCACAAATGCTTAAGGTTAAGAACCTTTGAAGGAATACTATGACTCCCTTTCTTCTTAAATATAGGACTTTTCTAATATATACTTTACCTAGTTTACTGTGACTTCTCTTCTTTTAGAGATATATATTTGAATTTCTTTTCAAATGTATGTTTTACCTTTTTATTATTATTCAATTTGTTTTCAAAACACATATTTAAATCACTTTTCAAATGTATCAAGTTTCCTTGTGAGTATAAAAGCTTCTTTCCCCTGTGGATCCTAGGTATAAAAAAGAGTTTATAAATTGAAGAATTAAGAACTGAAGTGGATCCATATAATGGCATATTATTCAACAATAAAAAGGAATGATATAATTTAGAGTACTCAAAATCATAGAAAGTAGAATGTTGATGGGCAGGGACTGGGGGAGGAGGGAATGTTAATATTATTTTTATTTATTTTTATTTATTTATTTATTTTTTTGCGGTACACGGGCCTCTCACTGTTGTGGCCTCTCCCATTGCGGAGCACAGGCTCCAGTCACGCAGGCTCAGTGGCCATGGCTCACGGGTCCAGCCGCTCCACGGCATGTGGGATCTTCCCGGACTGGGGCACGAACCCGTGTCCCCTGCATCGGCAGGTGGACTCTCAATCACTACGCCACCAGGGAAGCCCTGGAGCTATTATTTAATGGCTATAGAGTGTCAATTCTGCAAGACGAAAAGAATTCTAGCGATGGATGGAGGTAATGGTTGTACAAAATTATGAACGCACTTAATTGAACTGTACACTTAAAAATGGTTAAGATGAAAATTTTATGTTCCGTGTATTTTACCACAATAAAAAGAAATTAAATCAAAACAACTTTTGAAAGGAAGGAGGTACCGATACATGCTACAACATGGATGAACCTTGGAAACATTAGGCTAAGTGAAAGAAACCAGACAAAAAGGCCACATACTGTATGATTCTATTTATATGACATGCTCAGAATAGACAAATCTATAGACAGAAAATAGATTCGTGGTTGCTTAGGTCGGTGAGGGGGGCGCTGCTTGGGGAAAATGGGAAGTGACTGCTATTGGGTACTAAGTTTCCTCTGAGGGTGATGAAAATGCTCTAAAATTGACTTAATGAGGGCTGCACAATTCTGTGAATATACTTAAAGTCATTGAATTGTACATGGTAAATGGGTGAATTGTATAACATGTGATTATATCTTAATAATCTGTTATTTAAAAAAAAAAAAAAAAAAAAACCCGAGGTGGAGCAATCACCCAGCGTTTGAATGGGGAAAGCTCTTTCTTCTTCCTGAGTGTGATTTTTACCAAGTAGCAAAGGTCTTATTTCAAAACATTCCAAGTCTGTTGCCCCTTTTCCACCTCAGCTCTCCTGGGTGCCTGGAAAAGTTACTTAAGTGTGGTAACACTCAACCTCACCTATCACGCACCTCTTCTAAAAAGGAAGACAGCAAGGGTTGTTTGGAAGAATAAAAGAACTACAAAAACCTGTAGAACAATGGCAGGCAAACAGAGGGTTCATTAACGGCTTGACGAATTTACTGAAAAACTGAATAGATCAGATCTATGTAGAGTAATGAAGCAAAGAAAGGTAGACAACCCTGGAAAATGCAAATTCTGTCAAGTCATGCCTCTTGTCATGGCCCCTTCAGGTAGGAGGAGAAAAAGGGTATCATCAGATTTATCCTTCTCTTTAACCATATGTCTCCATTTCTATAGTTATTTCATACTAAGACTTTCATGTTAACCCTAAATCCAAACTTTACCTCTTGATCCACTAAATTGAAACTTTTTTTTTTTTTTGGTTTTGTCTCATTTTCTTTACCTAAATTCCTGGGGATAATGAAGAAATAAGCATTTTCTATCCTCCCCTATCATAAATTGTCTGAGGCCAAAAACTAGAGAAAAATCTGCTCAACCACCTGTATCCAATACCTCCCCTAGAAGTCCAACAGCTCAGGAAGAGTGGTTTTACCCAAAACCCTTTAGCATACAGAAAAAGCACCTCCATGATTAAAAAGGACAGGGTAGATCTACATGTCCTGACATTGGAAATTGTTCAAAATGTTCTGCTAAGTGGAAAAAAACAGTTGCAAATTAGTATATATAGTATAATATAATTTATAAAATATTATTATTAGTTAACTAATTTGGGGGTCTATTTGAGTACATACAGATGTGTATAAACAGAAAAAGAATGTACAGCACCCCCAAAAATTAGCAGTAGCCCTTACTGAAAGGGAGAGATTATGAGGTCTTTTACTGTCCACCTTCTACATTTCTGTATTGTTTGAAATTTTTATAACAAGAACGTTTTACTTTTATAATCAAGACAAAAATTTGCTAGAGGGAATAAGAGAGAAAACTGGGAGAACTACAGCCAAATTGCAGAACTCCATCTCTTACTTCCACTCCCCCAACCTCTTACCCACACCACCCCTTATGAAGGGGCCAGTCTACTCAAGCACAATGGAGACCTTTCTCCACAAAGGAAAAAATGGCCCAATACTGCAACAGTCTCCTCTGCCCTCAGGAGAATGTGAGAATATCAGAGTCATGACTTGTAAGAATGAAGAAAAATTGCCCCAGAACTCACCAGGGTTCCCAGACATTACTGAATCACTTCCTTCTTCCTTTTCTTGGACTTTCTTTGCTTTCTTTTTAACAGGCCCATCACTCTCCAGTGGTCTCTTTTTACTCCTATCGATTTCTGCAACCTATGTTAGAAAATGATATTATCTCTAATCTCAAAACTTGATGTATGCAAAATACTTTAAACCTTGTTCTTGCCATCCACCCTTCATAGAATCATCTGTTTAGAGTTATGGGTGAACTGTTTTACCATCTTTAAAGACAAGGTGGAGACTGGCAGGTCATGAGCCTCAGCACCTCAAGCCCTCCTAGAATTAGAACCAAGGCTGCTACTTTTCTTCACTCGATCAGTCTTCCCCTATCTCAGATTATGAATCACCCTATTTACCTATGTTAAATAGGATACTTTTAAGAAAAAAAACTAATATTTAGGAAAGTTGAATTTAGACAGATAATTAAAAACAGTATCATTTTTGAAATGTTAATTGTCATTTAACTGTTTCACATTCAAACTTGATTTATGTTCACCACTGAAAATGCCACAAGATTATGGACTATATGCTGGCAGGAAACCTGTCAAAAACTTAAGTCCTTCACCAAATAACCTCTAAATGGTAGGCATAAAATAAAATCTTGGTGAATTCATGAAAATATAGGCTATGGTCAAAAAATAAAGACAGGAGAGGAACAATCATCTATGGAAGAAACATAAAAGAAGGGAACAAGATTTTGAAACAACAGGAAGCAGACAACAACTAGCCATCACATCTGTATCATCTTAAGAAACTTTATCCACCCAAACTGTGTATGACTTTATAACCTGAACTACAAGGGGTACAGTCACCAGGGAACTGCACGACTTTGACCCGTAAACGCTTGAAATACTAAGCAAGGCTGTTGCTGCCTTAAAAACTAGAGATTTAACGGCAGTTTTCGTCTAGTAAGCTAACCAAACACATACAAATAATAAATAATGCTCCTCTTCAACCCTCAATCCAGAAAAAAAAAAACGGGGGAATGGGAGAGGATGGAGATTAAAATATGTATTCTTTGACTCTAACCTCATCAGAATGAGCTAAGGTCTGCCATTAAGAGCCGGTGTGACCTTAGCCTTAAATCTAAGGTCACAAGTGTAACACTACCCTAAAATGCCTGAATTGCACCTAGGACGGATACTGCCCTGCCTCTTCCCTCTTTCTCCTTCCTGAGCCCCGCCCCTTTCCCGCCTGGCCCAGTCATCTCGCATATTCTCGCGCACAGTCCCCGCCTCGTCCCGCTCCACCCACAAGCGCCGCCCCCGCCCGTATGGTCGCGCCCACTCCCCGATGGCCCCGCCCCGCCCTGGACCGAACCCACCACGTGTGGCGGCAACTGAGGCGGGAGAGTGGCCGCTAGGGGCGCTGCGGAGTCAGAGTCAGGATCCGCCTTCTCGGCTGCACCCGTTGGGGAGGAGGTGGATTTCAGGCTTCCCGTAGACTGGAAGAATCTGCTCAAAACCGCCTGCCTTGCAGGACCTGGGCCGGCGGGAGCGGCGCCACCAGAGACCGGCTTCCGGCGCGACATCGCGGAGCATGTACCCACAGCCCGGCAGCAGGACGACCTAGGAGCGCGAGCCCGCGGCCGCCGTTCCCAGGGCGTCTGCGGGCGCGAGCACGTCGCAACCCTGCGGTGCGCCGGGGCGGGGGGCGGGCCGAGGGCGGGGTCTCGCCTGCACAAATAGGACTGAGGGGGCGGGGTGGCCAAAATTTCGCGCCAAGCTGGCGGGTAATCTCCGTGTCAGTGTGACTTGCTAGCTCGGAAGTGTTTTCTGCTGCTATCATGGTTCGTCCGCTAAACTGCATCGTCGCTGTATCCCAGAACATGGGCATCGGCAAGAACGGGGACCTGCCCTGGCCCCCGCTCAGGTACCTGCTGGGCCGGAGGTGGGTCGAGTGTGTTGGATCGGAGCTTAATCGGGGCACCTGGGCCGGGCCGGGTCGACGCTGCGAGAAAAAGGGGACGAACTCGTGACCTGGGTTGGCGGGAGGTAGGCTTAGACTTCCTTCCGCGTCAGGAGCCTGGTGGCTAGTTACTGATTTCCGTCCCGCTCCAGCTGCCCCGCTAGGCCTTTTCCTCCCGCGTCCTACCCGAGCAAAGTCCCAGTCCTGGAGGTCCCCCCAGAGCACTGTTTGTCGGGTGCGTTAGAGCTGAAGCCCACGGGATCACATTCTGAGTAACTCCATGTGTTTCTCTAACTTGTAGGAATGAATACAGGTATTTCCAAAGAATGACCACAACCTCTTCAGTAGAAGGTAATGTGGGATTTTTAAGTGATTCAAATTTGCGAAGGGTCTTGCCTAAGGAAGCTTACCAGTGCAAATTTTACTTAAATTAAAAGTTTTTCATGTTAGTCTGGGACCTTTTGTCCTAACATAAATGTGGATGCAGTTCCCAAGATTCATTAAACATTATTTTTTTAAAAAATTTCTTTGAAATTTTATGTGGGCGCGCGTACAACTCAGGTATTGGTCAAAATTGGAAGCTAGGTAGAGGCTTCTGTGGAGGTTAGCGCTGGCAAAGGAAACCAGAACAGGCCTTTGAAATAGCTGCTGGAAGAGATGATAGTGCCTGAATGGCAATCGAGAGGACAAATTTCCAAAAAGCAGTTACAAGATACTCAATTTGGAGATTAGAAAGTTAAAGGTGATGCAGGAAGGCACCAAAGATGAACTCTCAGATTTTCAGTTTGAGAGTCTGGGTGACATGGAGAATAAAGGAGTGGGGAATAGCGTGCAGCTGTAATGATGATGATTTTAAAGTGCTTGTAGTATATCCGGGACAATTTCAGTCACGGGGAGCTAGATGAATTGAGCCACTGGAGAGAAGAGGATAACCACGGATAAGAATGTGGGCATGAGGGAGAAAAAACCTAAGAGACATGTGTGTTTATTCATTAGAGGAGGAATAGCAGAGTAAACAGGGAAACAGTAAATCAGAAAGGAGCAGATGCAGCATAACTATAACAGGACAGATAAAAGGTACTTCAGTTTGGCCCTTGAGTCACTAGTGGAGACATGATGGCAAAAGCTTGAAGCTAAAAAATTGACATGAACCACTCTCAAGAATCCTAAGTATGGCCTGCTAATCGGAAGACCTCCTTTCTGCCTCAAGGAAGTAAACATCACCATGATGTTCACCCTAAAAACCGACACTGCTAACTTTCCTTTTTGGTTTTTTTTTTTTTTTTTTTTTTAACGCCTCCCTATGTCCTTCCCTCATCATCTCTACCTTAGTTGTTAGGTCAGGTCTATGCCATATTTCTCATCAGAATTCCTCACCTATTAGCTCCATTATCTTTAATAGTTGATATCTCCTTATTGAACACGTAAAGCTCTGTCTTTGAAAATATAGTGCATATTGTATAAGGGTACTCTGAATTATAGGGGGTTTTTTGTTTGTTTATTCTTGGAGGAAAAAATTTTTTTCCAACATTTAGAGGTAATATTTGGTAAGAGTAGTGAAGCAAAACCTGAAAAATGCTTAGTCTTACGACTTGCAGTTTGTAAATTTAGTCTTTTTGTTTAAATAAAATCAAAGTAATGATGATTCTTTAAGAAAACAGATACAGGGACTTCCCTGGTGGCACAGTGGTTAAGAATCCGCCTGCCAATGCAGGGGACACGGGTTCGATCCCTGGTCCGGGAAGATCCCACGTGCCACGGAACAACTAAGCTCGTGCGCCACAACTACTGAGCCTGCGCGCTAGAGCCTGCGAGGCACAACTACTGAATCCTGCAAGCCACAATTACTGAAGCCCATGCGCCTGGAGCCCGTGCTCCACAACAAGAGAAGCCACCACAATGAGAAGCCTGTGCACTGCAACGAAGAGTAGCCCCCACTCACCACAACTAGAGAAAGCCCATGCACAGCAACGAATACCCAACGCAGCCAAAAATAAATAAATTAAATAAATAAATTGTTTTTAAAAGTAATAAAACAAAACTACATTAAAAAAAGAAAACGTACATGCACTCCTTTTGATAGTCTATCAGAACATATCAAGAATCATAGAAATGAGTATGTTCGTTTGATCCAGATACCTGACTCCCAAGGGTTTTTTTCTCCTAAGTAATTAAACAAAAATGGAAGCTTTACATGTGTAAAGTTTTTATAGAAGCGTTATTCTTGAACTAGATGCACAGAAGCACAATTGATAATGTTTTAAGCTCATTGCATGGAATATTAAGCAGCTGTCTTTAAAAAAATATGACTAACTTAAATGTATAAAGTATGCAAATATGAATAATACTGTTACATCAGTTATTACAGTACATATTAGATGCTGAGTATTGTTGTAAGTCTTCAATCGCCACAGCAACCCTACAAGTAGGAACTACCATTATCTCCCTTTTATAGATAAGGAAAATAAGGCACAGGAGATAAACATGACTCACCTAGTAGATGACAGAATACATTCAATTTGAGCCTTCAACCCAGAATCTTTGCTCTTAACTACTATAATATACATGACTACAGTTGATGAAAACTATATATTGGTTATAAGTTGGCTAAAGCCAAAGGAAATAACAGTTACTAGACTTAGATAATGGATGACAAATGGTAAATTTTGATAAAGCTGTTTTAAATTTTAATTTTTTAAAGCAGATCCACTAGGTGTCCCTATGACAATCATATCTATGCATATATGTATGAATATATAAAAATATATATGTATACTCCCAAAATATATTTATCTTTTGCGTGTGATTTTACAGGTAAACAGAATTTGGTGATTATGGGTAGGAAAACCTGGTTCTCCATTCCAGAGAAGAATCGACCATTAAAGGACAGAATTAATATAGTTCTCAGTAGAGAACTCAAGTAAGTACTGTACCATAAATTCACCACAAGAAAATCATGTTCCGTTTCTTATGGTAGAGGTCAGTATAGGACAAAATAAAATAGTATGAATGTAACTATGGATGAAGCTACTTAATATCATAAAGGTGATTACAGAAAATACGAAGCAGTTATTTATGCCATATGACAGTAACTTATTCTGTTACTCAAGTGACTGATTTCATCACCTTGACAAATTACATTAAATCTAACTATGGTAACAGATTTGCATGTTTCCTTGAACCATTATTCAGTAGACTTAAATATCAGTTATATAATGTAATTTAATAAACTTTTCTAGTTTCATGTAAAATCAAAATACATATATTATGGAACTTGCCAAACTTAAGTGGTTATCCCCTCTCTGTACCTAGCCCTAAATGCAATAAGATGTAAATTTTAGGATGGGCTAAAAATTGGTCCTAGTCTTGTGCCCTGTTATTTCTAGTTTACCACAACAGCATCTGAAGGTTAAAATTTTCAAAGTTTTGAAATGGAAGCACTTCCTAGGAATTCTAGGGAGTGTCTCTAGTTGGCCTGGGGGAGGAATTTTCCTGTTTACCAATTTAACTTTAGGCAACATAGTTCTGGATGCCTGGAAATGCCCTGGGGACTTGGCAGGGTGAGGAGGGGGAAGCAGTTTAGGTAAAAGCATTAAGACTGTTCATCAAGTCAACTCCAGTGCTTTTACCTTCACCAAGGCTTCCATGGCATTTACTCTACATGTAGTGCAAACTGATTGCTATTTTGTTTCTTTTTGTTATTTATTACATTGGTCCCAGCCCACTAAAATAAATTCTGGAACCCCAAGGGGTTTTGCAGGAGTTTTCTGAGGGGGAGAGGGGAACCTGAATTATACCATAAGGGAAAGTTTAGGACTGGCATGGTAATTATTCTCTCTTAAACTAATAATATAATCACACAAAAAATGCAGCATCCTAGGGCACTGCTTGCTTAATAACGGTGGTCATAATATTCCTTTCCCACGTGTGTTATTAGGGTTCACCCAGAGCAGCAGAACCAGTAGAATATCGATAGATAGATAGATAGATGGATGGGTAGATAGATAGATAGGTAGATAGATCGATAAAAGAATTTTATTGCAAGGAATTCCACAGTTGTGGGGCTGGGTAGGCAAGTCCAGATATCTGTAGGGCAGGCCATCAGGAAGGGCAGGGAGGAACTCTGCAGAAGGGGCTGAAGCTGCTGCCCGCTGGTGAAATTTCTTCTTCAAGGAAGCCTCAGATCTGTTCGTAAGGCCTTTCAACCCCTTGAATTACGTCCACCCAGATAAAAGTCATTTAATTATCAACTTTAATCACATCTGCAAAATACCTTCACAGCAACACCTAGATTAGTGTCTAAATAACAGTACTATAGCCTAGTCAAGTGAACACCTGAAGACTATCCAACCACGGAAGGAAAAACACTACACAGCTGTAGCCTAAGGGGACTCAGGCTTATATAGATTTTCTCCTAAATCCCTCCTAGAATGGTATAGGTTAAAAACCTGGAAGAAAGTATACGAGAATATTTCACTGATTGCCTTTGGGTGATGGGGAATATGTTGATATGCATCTTGCCATCTGCCCCGATCTTCATGCTGTTCTCTTTCTCCTGGTTACTAGGATATTCTGATTATATCCTTACTTCATAGAATCCAAATTCACAGACCGTATTGCCATTCCCAGAGACTCTTTAATAACATATTCTTGAATACTACTCAAGTTTATTTATGGCCAGCTTGAGCTAAAAC